CTCCAAAACCCCTTTCGGACACGCTGGTCATCACCTGGTACCCCCGGAATAATTCCAGACTCCAATACCCTTCGTCCAATATACCGATCTTCACCTCCGGACCATTCCGGAGCTCCTCATCATGTCCGGGATCTCATCCGGGACTCCGAACAAACTTCGGTAACCACATACTATTTCCCATAATAACTCTAGCGTCACCGAACCTTAAGTGTGTAGACCCTACGGGTTCGGGAACCATGCAGACATGACCGAGACGTTCTCCGGTCAATAACCAACAGCGGGATCTGGATACCCATGTTGGCTCCCACATGTTCCACGATGATATCATCGGATGAACCACGATGTCAAGGATTCAAGCAATCCCGTATGCAATTCCCTTTGTCAATCGATATGTCACTTGCCCGAGATTCGATCGTCGGTATCCCAATACCTCGTTCAGTCTCGTTACCGGCAAGTCACTTTACTCGTTCCGTAATGCATGATCCCGTGACTAACTACTTAGACACATTGAGCTCATTATGATGATTCATTACCGAGTGGGCCCAGAGATACCTCTCCGTCATACGGAGTGACAAATCTCAGTCTCAATTCGTGCCAACCCAACAGACACTTTCGGAGATGCCTGTAGTGTACCTTTATAGCCACCCAGTTATGTTGTGACGTTTGGTACACCCAAAGCATTCCTACGGTATCCGGGAGTTGCACAATCTCATGGTGTAAGGAAATGATACTTGACATTAGAAAAGCTTTAGCAAACGAACTACACGATCTTTGTGCTACGCTTAGGATCGGGTCTTGTCCATCACATCATTCTCCTAATGATGTGATCCCGCCATCAATGACATCTAATGTCCATGGTCAGGAAACCATGACCATCTATTGATCAACGAGCTAGTCAACTAGAGGCTCACTAGGGACATGTTGTGGTCTATGTATTCACACATGTATTACGGTTTCCAGTTAATACAATTATAGCATGAATAATAGACAATTATCATGAAAAAGAAAATATAATAATAACCATTTTATTATTGCCTCTAGGGCATATTTCCAACACTTGGGTGGTAGGGTACACAACTGGCTCTAGCCGGCGCGGCGGAGCATGGAGGCTACGCGGCTCGACTAGGTTGGTGCGGGCGGCTGGGTCCAGTTCATTGTGGCTTCAGTTTATTGTTTGATTTTTTGCTAGTTTTGATTGGTCTTGATGGTTTGACCACTCCACCTTGTCCAATGAATAAGTAGTGTGCGTAAGCCCACGTGGAGATGGTGGTCAGGAGGTGATCATCATTGATTTTCCTCCAGGGTGAATTAAGCCAAAACTAGGTAGAACCTATGTTCATCTGAGCCAGATTTCCTCGGTTGTAGTGCTCAGAGCTCCACCTTTCAACACGTTTCCACTACCTTCCTATGTTGATGCAGGTCGTGGTTCTTATTCAGTGCCAACACCCTCATCTCTAACTCTACCATCACGATCCCTTTGGCCCTAACCTCGTCACCGCCATCTCCTCCCTTGGCATTCCACCTCTGTCGTTGATTTGATGTCGTGTTGCTTCGCAAGCTCCGCGTGGTTAGACATCATTGCTCCGAGGAGGTGCTCTCCTTTCGGCTGTATCATCATGCATCACGTCATCGATGAACTTGACTCGACTGGACCTTTGGCAATTTCATGGCCGCCTCGCCTAGAAAATAGGTGCGTCCTGTTTGGCTTCCCGTTTTCCATTCCATTTGATAGAAATGAAATGAAATTTCTGTAATGATTTCATTATGTTTAAGGTTCCAATCTTCAAATTCCATGTCTGGCTACCAACAAGATTTTATCAACTGAGATGAATTTCATCTCATGTTGGTTGCCATTTTGAGGTGCAGTCAAGTAATCATTAACCCGAGGTAAAATGAGCAACGATTGTACAGCAATAATGTTGTGCAGTACAACAACAAATGAGCAGGAATATAACATTGAATCGTACACTATTATTAAGTGAGCAAGAATGTAACATTGAACCATGACAATCAGTGTATAAAACCAAACAAACATCAGGATTTTGTCAAAATGTTCATTGTCTGCAATGTAATACAGAAAAGTTGACGCCCCAAGAGGTTAGGCTTCGCCAGTCCGTCGGGGATAATCAGGTTCCAAGAGACAGAGAGATAGAGAGGGGAACCCTCTACGCACCTACCGCGACAGTGAGACACCTGTGATGACTTCGTCAATCGCAGTACACATCGGCTTAGTCTCTCCCGGACGTTCACACGGGCACCATGTGTGTTCATGGCGGTGAGTGTATTTACATGTACAATAGCTTCAGAATTTGGACGTGGCAGCCAGCTCGGCCGTCCTTACGCCAGGGCCACCTCAGTGCACATGCCACGTAAGCCGCACAGCGTGGCACACTCGCCCACTACAGCCCGTGTAGTAGGCTCCCACGCCCGTCCCCCGCTCTTGGTCTTCGTCTTCGTCTTCTTCCCCGCGCGCTCCTCCCCCTCCCCGTCGACCAACCCCGTCCTCCTCCTCCTCCGCCGGCCCACCTCCGCCGCGAATCCAAGGTACGTGGCCCTAATCGCGCCATCCAAGTTCGATCCGTCCCCGTCGTCGCTAGATCCGGCTCGCCGCGCCCGAAATCCCCTGCGGAATCGGGGCGAATTCGCGGAGTATTATGATTTTCTTGGGGGCTGGTTAAGTTCCAATCCCGGGTCAAGGCCTCCTCCTCCTCCTCCGCCCCCGGCCGATCCCGGCGGCCCCCGTCGCGCCGCCTCCCTGACGTGGCCCGGCGTCTCTCCCGCCCGGTTTCGTGCCGTGCGGCCCCCGATCTGGCCCCGCCGAGAGCCCAGATCGCGGGTCAGGGTGCGCTCTGATGTTCGTTATGCTGATGCATCGTCTATGCTTTCCGATTTTAATTGTCATATCCTACGTCGATCTGATTTCCGTGAGCTACTCTGTGCTCTGTGAGGGTTGCTTAGTATTGTAACCATCCACTTCAACAAATTTCTCTCTAAATTATTGGATCTTGTCCATCAGAAAAGTAAGCCAGTAGGGCATGGACTTCCAATCTCAAGCTCAGGCCCAAGGGTGCAGTTGCTTACCGGTGACTGCCATTTGTGGTGTTTCCTATCTTGTTAGGTAGGGGAGTTCAGACAATCAAGCCTCTGATAGAATGATAATGAGCCCCCTTACTTCTGTTAGTCCATATTGAGAGCTGCCCCTGTGCCAAGTGCTATAAGCGAATAATGTTACCTGAATTTACCCTTATACTGTCAAGTTCAGCATGCTGATTTCTATGGTGAAAGCACCGATTTTCTTAGCTCTTCATTTCGGTGAGTGTTAAAGGACAGAAAATGTAAAAGAGAATTGTGAGTCACATCGCTTGGGTGTGTGCAGGACATGACTTCCAGCACCTTGTATAATGACCAGCTTTAACCCCAATCACTTTTACTACTGGTTTACTGTTTTCTTTCTTAAAAATCATAATATTTGTAAAGGCCATCATGTCACGTGAGTTAACTAATTAAGTCAATCAACATAGAATTCAGCATCAAACCTACAAAGCCTCATTTATGTTATGATTTGAAGCCACATACACCACCTGCAATCTGAATTCTGAACATTCCATCTTCTCTAGTCTGTCATTCTATTTATGCTTTGACAATGGGTATGCCTCTGCTACCTATGTGTTGTATAACTCTATAATCTTACTACCAGTTTACGGTTTGTATCTTAGAGAGCATGACTTGTGAATGCCATCCTCCTACGTCATGAGCGTTAACTAGTTATGTCAATCAACATGAAATTCAGTATCAAATCTACGAGACCTCATTTTTATGATTTGAAGCCGCAAAAACCACCTGCAATCTGAATTCTGATCATATCATCTTCTCTAGTCTGTCATTATATTTATGTTATGACACTGGGTGTCTCTGCTATCTATGTGTTGTACATCTCTATAATCTTTGGATTTATACATTACTAATATTTCATTCAAGCCAAACCTTTGGATTCATACATTACAAGCATTTGCTTTGTTCATCTGACACATGGATGATGCAATATAACTGTGAGAACATTTTTGCGCAACCTAATGCTTGTAGTTATTCCTGATTGATATAAGAAACCCAGCAGTTCATAAGCATACTGTGCAGTTTATTACACGCCAAGCAAAAACGTTATGTTCAGGAAAAAAAAATCATTGCAATGCTTCAGAATACCTTCGTGAAACTTCTCTATGCTGATTCTTTTCTTGGCATTACCAGAACTGAACCATGGCGAAGATCAAGCCAAAGGCATTGCTGGCACAGAGCAAACAGAAGAAGGGCCCTACACAGATCGGCCTGGTGAGGATCATCACCTACATCGTCCTCGGCGCCCTAGCAGTGTCCTCTGTATACTATGCCTATCAGTACTGGCAGAGCAAAGGACCGGCCGTTGCGGCAGCAGCAGCAGAAGGCGCCACGGGGAACTAAGCCCCAAGAATGTAGTTGATCTTGCTGCTGTTGCTGTATTGTCTTGTCGGTTTTTTCTGGTGTTCGCAGTCCGGTAAATTTGTGAAACATGGACAGAGCATGCGACGCTTAGTTGTATCCCCCTGTAAATTGCCTTAACATTTATGCTTATGTTTCTTTCTTTGACATGGAGTTTGCGGTAGCTCCATTGGTAGTGTTCTCTTCTGCTTAGATAAACATATCAGGGCACAAAAACTCTTCCCAGGTGGAACGTGCACGTTCTGAAGCTAGTGTTTCTCTTGTATTTTGGCTATGAGGTGGGTTGAAAGACGCCTCTAGACTTGGTGAGATTAGGTTCTAGTGGAAAAATTCTTAGCACCAAGTTTTGACCAACATTGGCCATGCTGTAAACCTGAAAGTGTTCCTCGATAGTTATAGAGAAGTTTCGGGTCAATTTGTAAGCAAAAACAAATATACATTTTTCTTCTGCAAGAACTGCGATGAAGTAAGCTATGCCTCAGCTCCGGCAATAGAAGCAGAGGACCTTGTGCAGAAGTATTTGTTTGCGGCTCCGTACAACTATAGGAAATTCCATGGCTACAGCTTTTGAGCATGTACCATAAAAAAAACGTTGTTAATGGGCGATCTGCCAAGAAACTTGGTTGAGCTGGTAGGATGACACATAAGTCTTTGTTATGTCGATTGCTTAAAGTATATCTACCATTCCATGAGTTGTTGTCAATTAAGGGCATCTCCAACCAGTGGCGAATCCAGGAAGAAAGCGAAGAGCGAAGGGTGGGCTAAGTTAACAGCAAGAAAGTTAAATGTCATTTTGGAGAGAAAAGGGCATTAAATGCTAATCCTTTTGTCCAAATAAGCTAATATTTTGCCCGAATACTGTCATTTTATGGTTTTATCTAAATATCCATTTTTGAACGGAAATTTAAATCTATCTACCTAAATTTTCATTATCTCCCAGTCCTTTCGCTCCAAACAAGCTGAAACTTTCTTAGATTACTACTAGAAACATATATCATTTGCTAGATTTAAAAAAATTAAGCAAAATTTGAATTTATGTAGCAAAATATAGCCATTATCTGTAGCGACCCGACCTCAGATGGTCAAGTCTCTGTACTCAGTGTCATCCCTGGATCAGTAATGCTGACACCACACAGTACTTTGAAGGATTTATAACAGAGTAGCAATCACACACTTATTACATCGATGTCTCAAAGAGAACTTATTACAATAAATATGGCTTAAGGCCATCTAATAATGATAACAACGGAAGACTTGGAAGATAAGTAAGTCCATCAACTCCAACGGCATCACTGAGTATAGAACCATGACCTAAAAGCACCTTACTCGTCGTCTGAAAAGTCTGCAACATGAAACGTTGCAGCCCGAAAACGGGTCAGCACATGGAATATGCTGGCAAAGTAACACATAGAGAAGTAATAAATGGAATCACTACTAGATTTTCCAATATAACCGATGGTCAGATCACCGTCGGATATTTCTATTCACCGTCGAATTTCTTTATAACTAACGGTACACCGTCGGCTATCTCCCGTCGGCTATGCTTGGTCGGCCATTACAACAATAGCCGACGGTACTGTAAGGTAATACCTTCTCCCACGGTAATTAGCTGACGGTGAGCCGTCGGGCATGGTTTGGTCGCCAGCCGTCTCACAAGAAGTCGATGATACTTATAGTTGACGGTTCCCCGTCGGGTATTTATTTTCTTAGGGTTATTACTTCCCTTCGGCTTTTGCAATAGGTGACGGTATATTTGACCCCTCAGGGTTCATTATAAACGAGAGGAGAACCAAACCGTCATCTAGTATGATCACTGACTATGTATATACACCTTTAGGGATTCCTATAGTTGAGAGGCCAATGAACGCCCTCAATATATAGATTCACCGATGGTGTGAAGTCTCTGTTGGCATATGTTGTAGCTGAGTACTTATTGCATGGTAGGCCAGTAGGCACTCCTTGAGGATTGTTTTCCATTTCATATATATCTCATAATTGCACAACCCACACATGACCAAGTAACATATATTATATTTAGCGCAGCTTTCAAAATATCATAAGAGTTACATCAAAATTACATTGATCATCATGATCTATCTAGTAAGTTTATAATGCAAAACAATATAATGGTCCAAGCATTATGCGTAAGCTACATTGACCAGAACTTCATAACTTCACTTTGTTGCATGTCTTCAAGAATGACCATTAGACTCGTCACCCTAAATCACCATATGGATCATAATGCTTATCACTGTATAGATAATAACAATCATCGTCATAAACATCATCACCCTTGCCATAGATCACAATTCCTCCAGTACTGTTTCTCATTCCTAGGAAATGATTAGACTGGTTGTAAGGGAGATGAAAATGATGTAATGTAGTTGATTTCATCAAGCATACAGTGAAAAAACTTAGATGTTCTAATTGACTGGTTAGCCGCTATCAATCAACATGACTACGTATTTCACCTTTTGATCCTTCATATGCAATTTTCAAGGTAACATGAATCAATAGGAACACATACTCCAAATAATAGAATGAGCACTACACGTTGCTATGTGTACAGAAGGAATAATTTACTAATAAACCACACTGATGTCAATTTCATTATAAGTTTGCAGCAGTTCAGAACACATCATGCTTTTCGAGTTACTTGTAAGATTCATATAATTCAAAGCACATGACATTTTTCTAATTAAATGTAACAATCCTATGTGTTATAGTAAGACCAAGATGGCTTGTTGCAATCATAAAATGATATTGACCCAGTACAAGGACATTTGCAACCCCACTGAAGTTTTTACCAGCGTTTATATTTTATAGTCTGACGACAAAACAGAAGCATTAGACTAGCAGAACACTATTGGCTAGTTTTGGCATGCAATAAACTGATGAAGAATGCCATGTAAAGAAAGATATAAATATATTGTTCATTCAAACAAATTAAATGACAGCAGTACTTCCAATTCTTTTTCGACGTTGTCCACTTTCTTAGATCAACAGAGAGGCAACCCCCCTGGTTCCATTGCTATAATGAAACCAAATTTGCCATACATTCTCAAAAGCATCAAGGTCTCAAAAGTTGAGGACCAAGAGAGGCAAAGTTTTACAGGGAAAAATAAATGCTACTCCCTCCGTCCCATAATATAAGAGCGTTTTTCGTGTAGTGTGAAAAACGCTCTTATATTATGGGACGGAGGGAGTAGAAAGGAGTACGCTTGATAGTGGGTCAAACATGCCTAATCATATTGTCAAATGTTAAAATATTGTTCTCTGTGCAAATGGTTTACTGTGATTGATTATAGCAACATCTTTGCCTATATGAGTTCAACCAAATTGTGCCCCTAGCACCTTAATTAAGATGAATTTAGTGTACAGAAAACAGCCAGTCCATAGATAGATGTCTCAGTTATAAAGCACATTCTAGGAAAATAGGGCATAAGCAGGTGCATACATCCTACATACCTAAGAATTAATAATCAAGTAGACTGGAAGTACAGAAATTTATCTACAACTCTTGAATTGTCACTATAAATCAACATTGAAAGTATCTCGTCCATTAACAGATAAATGTAATACTGCAACAAGTAAATACTACATGACTGTACTACTTTGATTAGAACATCCAGTTTTTCATCAGAATTCAACAAACAAGATTCTCTACAGTCTGCATAAGAAAATAGAAGGAACAAAATACCTTCAGTACCGACCGGAGGTCATCATGATTGGAAATGGTCATCAGGCAAAGGGTGTGTCATTGTGTCAGGTTTACTGTTCCTCCCTTTCTCGCCCAGCATACAACTGGCTCAGTAGACCACCGGATTCTTGGAGATTCATGTGCGTAAGCTCAAAAGCTTTATATTGTTGCTCTTCAGAGAGGTCCAACTGAGACCTGCGTGATAGCATAGCGCGTATAAGAACAACAAGTAAGAACCCCTGCTCTACATCTTTGAGAAGGAACACACGGGACATAATGTTAACATGTTAGTGGATGCATCAGCCTTAGGCACATGAGTTAAATGCTACAGAACTACAAAATACTGAGAAGAAAGCAAAAGCAAGATTACAGAACCTACATTTACATCTACAAACCAAAACTGACGGAAAAAGAACCAGGAATGTACATACTACATGAATGGAGGACCTCTTCAATGTTAATTGGTTTGCTTGTCAGGGACTGCTAGTTAAGCTATACAGTAGTATGAAGTATACATCCCGATCCTGATTACATACACTGACACAGTGTCTCCTCTTATGTACTAGTGCCAACTTCTGCAACTAGCTAGTCTTGAGCAAACATACATGCATCAACACAAGCTAGCTAGCTCACCTCGCTGGCACCAAATGGCCACTTGCTAGTTAATTAAATTATTTTTCAACAAATAGGCTTGACTTTATTTTCCAAACAGGCCTATCTTTGTTTTTCAACAACCATACAGACAAAAATTAAACCTAAACAAACATGCATACAGCCATGGCCTCGTTGTAGAACTTGAACCCTATGGAATCATCTCCTCCATGTTCCCGGTGTTCAACTTCAACCACAGGATCAAACCTGCACCCAACCACCAAAAACAAGCTCACGAATGATTACTGCATCACGCATACGTCGCAAATATGACCTGCTTGACGAATTGCGCAAAGGAAGAGGCGACCGGACCTGGTACAGGCGAGTGAAGGCAACACTGTGGTCCACTCGGCGACATCAGGTGCCACTCCGATGAGGAGGAGGTGGGCCGATACATGGCGTTGGCGTAGGAGGTGGAGGGAGAGAGAGCCGACGAAGAAAACAGCCTCAGTACTAAGGAGCTACGGCGAGCGCCTGTATTGGTTGGGGCGATGAGGTCCAGGCGGCCAGATCCGGCAGCGTCGTGGCCGGGGGCTGCCAGATCTGAGGGCAACGATGACGGAAATGGGAGTCAAAAGGACACGCTTTCGCACCGGGAGGAACATCTAGGGGAGGGGATGATGTTGCTGGG